AAAAAAAAAAAAAAAAAGATGTAGGGGGAGAAAAAAGTAGTTTTACTACAAAAAATGTAAAATAATGCTGGCATACCCCAGCACATAATAAGGTTCTATGAAAACAAAACAAAACAAGGAATTCTCAGAGTTCAAACTGTACGATACCCAGAAGACAGGGTATCTCAAAGAACCACCAGACACGATGAGTGTGAACTCCCAGTTAAGCGTCCTAAACAGACACAAATCCGCCTCAATCTCAAGGCAGATGTGGAAATCTCCAATTAGATACGAAAGTCCCAAGTTCAAAGCACTTAAACTAAGACTTTTTAGCAGAGTACAAGTGTCCTTTCCTAGCTGAAGGGAGAACACTATGCCAAAAACTACACCAGGAAACATCAAAGTACGAAGTGATCCCGTGGGCGTTATTAAGGACTGCCCGGAGCCCCTGTGGAAGCAGCACGTGCTATCTGAAGCTCCTTCTCGTTCTTCAAACCACACGGCATCCTCTTTACCTGCTCTTCTGGCCGTACCTATCCTGAGTCTTGCTCTCTCGCCTATGACCTTACCCAGCCAATGTCGTAGTTCAAGGTCAACTAGGCAACTGTCTCAAATAAACAATTCCTCAAAAAGGGCTCAGGATGTACCTTAGTGTGCGGGCCCTAGGTTCAATACCCAGTACCATAAAAACCTAATTAAAAGGAAAACAAAAAATAAAGGAAATATTAATTGTTGAAACAACTGATACCCAGGAGCGGTGGTGCACACCTGCAACCCCAAGCACTCAGGAGACTGAGGCATGAGGATTGCTGCAAACTGGACACCAGCCTGGGCTCCACAGTGAGTTCAAGGCCAGCCTGAACTATAATGCAAGACCCTGTCTCAAACCCACCCCCCTAAAAAACAAATTGAATGGGTAGGTCTGAGAGCCACAGCACCCCCGCATTTACTGCAGCACCATTCACAATGGCCAAGAAGCAGCAATGTGGCTGGGGGTACGGTGCATCAGTTCAGCATTTGCCTAGCAAGCACACAGCCCTGAGTTTGATCCCTAGCATCGCAAAAAAATAAGGAGGGAACAGCCTAAGGGTCCATAACATAATAGAAATTACTTAGCCAGGCCAGGAGTGGTGGCACATGCCTGTAATCCCAGCACTCAGGAGGCTGAGGTAGGAAGATCATTCCGAGTTTGAACCAGCCTGGGCTACAAAGAGAGCTCAAGGCCAGCATGAATTGCACAGCAAGACCCTGTCTCAATAAGACAAGGAAAAAAAAAAAGAAAGAAAGAAAGAAATTATTTAGTCAGCCGGGCATGGTGGGGCACACCCGTAATCCCAGCACTCAGGAGGCTGAGGCAGGAGGATCACTGAGAGTTCAAGACCAGCCTGGACTACAAAGGGAGCTCAAGGCCAGCATGAATTGCACAGCAAGACCCTGTCTCAAAAAGACAAAAAAAAAAAAAAAGGAAAAAGAGAGTAGTGATACATGTTACAATTTGGATGAAATTTCCTAAGTGAAAAATGTCTACATAAAATACAAATCCAGCCAGGTGTGGTGGCATACACCTGTAATCCCAGCACTCAGGAGGCAGAGGGAGGAGGATTGTTGTGAGTTTGAGGTCAGCCTGGGCTACAAAATGATCTCAAGGCCAGCCTGAACTGCACAGTGAGACCCTTTCTCAAAAAGACAAAAAAAAAAAAATACAAATCCATTCATATGAAAATAACAAAACAGGAAAATCCAGAGACGGGAAATACTTCAGGGATTACTCACATTTGTGGGAAGCCAAAGGGTATGGGGGTTTCTTTTAGAGGTGATGAAAAGGTTTAAATTTTTTGTTGGGTTGGTTTCTGCAGACAGGGTCTCACTACTCAGTTCAGGTTGGCCTTGAACTTACTGTGTAGCCCAGGCTGATCTCAAACTAGCGGCAATCCTCCTGCCTCAGCCTCCCACTACTGGCATTACAGGCATGCACCACCACGCCCAGGAAATGATTAAAACTGACTATGATGGGCTATGGGTGTGGTTCAATGGTAAAGAGCTTACCTAGCAAAAGCCCAGTATTCAATCAATCTCTAGCACCCAAAAAAACCCCCGAAAAACAACCAAAAAAAGCAGGCATAATGTGTGTTTGAGGCCAGACTGGGCCACATAGCAAGGCCCTGTCTTTGGAAAAAAAAAAAAACGCTGAGGCAGAACCGCAAATTCCAGGCCAGGCTGGGCAACACAGTGAGGCCCTGTCTCAAAATAAAATTAAAAATGGGTAGGGATGAAGCTCAGTGGTAGGTACCACTCGGTTCAATCCCCAATACTAAAAAAAAAAAACAAACAAAAAAAAACTACTTGATGTTAGTAAATGTCCATAAATATAGTAAAAATAAACAAAATGTAATTGTCTACTTCAAATGGGTGAATTATAGCCGTGTGGTGGCATATACCTATAATCCCAGCACTTACAAGGTGAGGCAGGAGGATCGTTGTGAGTTCAAGACCAGCCTGAGCTACGAAGTGAGTTCAAGCCCAGCCTAAACTACATAGCAAGAACATCTCAAAAAAAAAATCCCAAACACACACACACACACACACACACACACACACACACAGTGAACGGTATGGTACATGAACTCTATCTCAATAGAGCTACTTAAAAAAGAAAAATCCTGGCACAGCGGTAAGCACCTGTATTCCCAGTTACTTGGGAGGCTGAAGCAGGAGGGTCACTTGAGCCCAGCATTTCAAGGGCAACCTGGGCAATGCAGCAGGACTTCCTCAACCTCAAAAACACAAGAAATGGGGGCTCACGGATAGATAAAGATTCATCAATGTGGTTGAAGCTTGAAAACATGGGGTATAAAATGAAAAACTGTGCAAGAAGCCAGATAGAAAAGTTATATTGCAAAACTTCAACTGGATGAAGCACCTAAAAAAAGCAAATCCCTACAAGCAGGAAATCTAGAAGAGGTGACAGAAAAACATGCTGAATGTTTAAATTTTTAAAAAGGTATTACAGTAAAAGACACACTGCCATTAATTTCCCTCAAAATACTCCTTCTCCTCATTTGGAACACACTTATCCCACCTTTCTGCCTCTGAATGAAGCAGTTCTCAAAGCCTTCTTTTTGTCTTCACAAGGTGTGATCAAAAATACAGTGAATGCTGCTGCTGAGTGCCATCCAACTGAAAGACAGGCTCATGCAAGATGACACAGTGTCCTCACCTACCTGATTACCTGGATCTCATGCAAGATGACACACAGTGTGTCCTCACCTACCTGATTACCTGGATCTGCACCCTACAAATTGCAGCTCTCCCCAAAAGTCAAAATGGCCATGAAAGGCAGATGTTTTGAACTGATTCAGGCCATGAAGTCAGCCATGACAGCACAACTAAAGACACAGAGAAGAACTTCCAAAACTGCTTCAGAAAGTGGCAAGGAGTGGGGCGTGGAGGCACGTGCCTGTAATTCTAGCACTCAGGAGGCTGAGGCAGGAGGATCATTGCGAGTTCAAGGCCAGCCTGGGCTACAGAGTGAGCTCAAGTCCAGCCTGAACTGCATAGTAAAACCCTGTCTCAAAAAGACAAAAAAAGAAAAGAAAAGAAAGTGGCAAGAACAATGAGATAAATGTGTTAAATATGAGGGGACTAATGGAAATGTATCTTTTATCATAATAATTTTTATTAATGTAAACACATACATTTTTGACCGTATCTCATTTTAGGGCTGCCAGGCACTGGGGGAGGATGAGATGGGTAACTACTTAGCACTACAAAAAAATAAATAAATAATCTCAATAAGAAGTTAATTACTACATAGCTCAGACATGTAAGGGTTTTCTTTTTTCCTTTCTGGTTGTACTGAGGATTGACTCTAGGTCCTCAGGCATGCTAGGTAAGTGCTCTACCACTGAGCTACATCCCCAGACCAGACGTTTCCTTGATTTCCCTTGAAATTATGAAAATGTTCTGGAACTAGACAAGGGTGGTAACTGCACAACATTGTGAATTTACTAAGCACTGCTATGTTGTATACTTTTTTGATGACTGAAATGGTGAATTTCACGCTATGTCCAATTTACCACAATAAAAACTGGGGGAAAATACAAATAAAAATAACTATTGTAACAATAAGAAATAATGACAAGAGAAAGGTTTAAAAAAGAAAAAGAAAAATAACCAACCTTGAAGTGAAGCAGGATACTGAAAAAGAATACTCTTTGCATATACTTCCTCCGAGACAGGATCAAATGAGAGGGGACGCATAGGTGGTAAAAGGTCCACAGCCTTAAAACACAGATTTCACAATTTAAGTAGACAGCTACTACCCAATAACACTAAGTTAAAAACAAAAACACTAAGTTAATTCATAAATGGGTCATTTTGCAAATTTTCTAACAATTACCAAGCATATATAACTCTATTTGTTTTCCCTAGAGACCACTTTAGAGAATCCAAGCTGTAGTATGACAACCACTGATAATTTCCTACCATTTCTGTCTGTAACTCACTATTATTTGTCTATTTGTTTTCCTGAGAAACTATCTTGAAGACACCAATAGGTACAATAACAACCACTGACAATGTCCTACCACTTTGTCTGTAATTTGTCTGAATCCCCCTATTGCTATGTTGTCCTTCTTTTGCTCTTCTAAATAAAATACAAGAAGAAGGCAGACTGGGCTACACAGCAGGTTCAAGGCTGACCTGGACTACACAGCAAAGACTGCCTCTAAAAAAGAAAACAAACCATCAGAAGAACACTAGAATCTTTCCAATATTACCCTCTGAATTTAAATAAATTAACTACCTCACTACTAAATTTGACTGGCTACACACAAAATGGCAACAGCAACCCATGAAAATTCTATTATGTATTTAGAAAAATTACAAAACCAAAACATTGGAACTCTGGCTACAAATGCAAAGATGATAAACACATGTACACACAGCATTTCTAGGTCACTGGCAACACGTTAAATGACTAAACTGACAAAATTAAACTCCTCTCCAAAAGTCAAGTCAGCACTACTTACTGGAGCCCGACTTTTGAACAGACTGAAAGGAGACAGACCAAGAGAATCTCTCCACTTCTTATCCCACTCTCCTTGCTTCTCAACAACAGAGCATCTTACAGTGGTGAGATCATCTTTTATTTTACACCTACGGTAGCACAAAAAATAACTGTTCAAAACACAAATACACAAAAAACAGTAAAATTGAAGAAAATAACAGTATCAGTAAGAAAGGGAAAGGAAATATAACTGAAAGCTCAACCAATTAGGCACATATAAATTGAATAAACACTCACAAGTGAATATTCAGGACTTAAAATAACCTTTACTTCTTTTAAAACCAGAAAGCAATCATACATTTATCACACTGTATTTTTTTGTACCAGAAATCGAACTCAGGACCTTGCGCTTGCCAGGGAGGCACTTGTGCCCCTGAGCTGCATCCCCAGCCCCACACCATGTATTTTTAAAACACAATTTTCTCCCAGGCTGTAAATGTCAGAATTCTACTCCTACTATCTATACATTCCTAAAAGAAGCCTATTAACTCCCATTCTTTCTGCTAAAATAAAAAACTTTTCTGAGGCTCACTTTGATTATTAAATATAACCAAAAAAAAGCTAGAAGAAAGTTACAATTATCTCACAGCTGGGCACAGTGGTTGGTGCCTGTAATCCCAGCAATCTGGAGGTCTATGGCAAAGGATCGCAAGCTGAAGGTAGGATGAGCAACTTAGCAAATCCTGTCTCAGAAGAAAAAATAAATGGGAGGGAAGCATGTTACATACATACAATAACTCCTCACAATGAATGTAATCATTATGTACTGCAAACACATACCAATAAAAATAAAAATGGGCTGGGGATATAGCTCAGTGCAAAGACCCTGAGTTCAAACCCCTGTACTACCAAAATATTAAAAATATACCAATAGAGAATCATCACTTAAAGCAAATAACTTATTCCACATAAACAGAAAACTGCATTACCTTTCCTCTCTACCTCACGTCTCTGGGAGTTGATCACACAAGGGTTTAAGTGCTAGTAAAATCTTCACACTTGTTTGACAAGGCGAAAGAGTTATTCACCGACTATACAAGAGTTTTGCTGAGAAAACCACCCCACTCCTCCCGCAGTAAATAACACAAGATCTTTCTAGCGTACCTCATATGCTTCACACGTGATAACCTTTCCCTCTGAGATTTGGTCTCTTTTTCAAGGTAGTGACGATCTACTGTAAATCTTGCTTGGTCAGACTGACAACGTTCGTATTTCATTATTTTCAGGACTTCATTTAACAACTGAATAACTGTTAAAAGGTTCAATTTTCCAGCCTCATAAACATTTCCTATGCGCAACTGAAGATTCAGAGGGGAAAAAAGTACAGAACTATGAAATCTTAAGATAATAAACTGTTACAAAAAAGATTTATGCGTTTTATTGTTACATATGAATTATACCTTAGAGTGAAAAAAATAAATTACCATCCAACCATTAAACTATATAATTTCAAACTAGTGAAAACTACTATGGAAGAATTAACACATCATAGTACATTTCTTATATCATGCAAAGGTTTAAGACTAGAATAAAGGAAAAATAGTTTGAGGAAAAACAATGCATAATATATAAAAATAATTACATAGAGTTTTCACAAAGTTTCTCTAATATCAAACAAAAAAATAAAGATTTAGGAGAAACAGGTTTGGAGGAAAAGATCATGAATTCATTTTTTAAAAAAAGTTCCATTATCAATGACCCCTAAAAACTACATCCAAACTTGGGGCATGTTTACTTGGCCTGCATAGTTCCAATGTTTTATTTATTTATTTTTTTTTTTTTTGTCTTTTTGAGACAGGGTCTCACTATGCAGTTCAGGTTGAACTTGAGCTCACTTTGTAGCCCAGGCTGGTCTGGAACTTACAACAATCCTCCCGCCTCAGCCTCCCAAGTGCTGGGGTTACAGGCGTGAACCACCATGCTGCACTCCAATGTTTTTTGGTTTTTTTTTTGGTTTTTCTCCGGTACCAGGAACCGAACTCACGACCTTGCGCTTGCCAGGCAGGCGCTTTGCCGCTGAGCTAAATCCCCAGCCCCCCAATGTTTTAAAAACACCTGAATCAGCTGCCAATACTATTTAAATCATAAATTTCACATTAAAAAGAGTAGACATTGCTCATTTAATTACTGAGTCATGTTCTTACAACTCACTTGTTAATTGAATTGGTCATTAAATGAGAAATTGTATATAGCGTACCTATTACAATATTCAGAACAAGCCAGGAATGGTGGCCCACGCCTGTAATCCCAGCACTTGGGAGGCTGAGGCAGGAGGACCATTGCAAGTTCGAGACCAACCTGGGCTACAAACTGAGCTCAAGGCCAGCCTGAACTGTGGAGCGAGACCCTGTCTCAAAAAAAAAAAAAAAAAAAAAACAATATTCCGAACAAGGAAATGGTCAGAGGAAACCCCAACTTGATGACTGCTTTTATTTGCATATCTCTTACCTCCAGTACTATACGTACAACAACATAAAACCACAGTATTGTGCTGTCCTGCAATCAGCAAAAATTACAGTACTGTATAAATAAGGTGCACTGTCCAAAAAAAGACACTGCGGCTGTATAAACAAGACAGAGAGAACTGTACAAAAAGAAGATGGGTCATAATTTCGAGCAGTAGGTCCCTAAGTCCAAACAGTCGTTACCCAGGCAGGGCAGTAACCGAGGACTCTGTGTTGTCTTTTCTCTGGAGGCCTCACCGCTCTGTGCCTTCCCTCTGTTGTTACACACAGCTCACGTGCTTCCATCCCCTGCCGCAGCCTGCAGGAACCTGGGTCTACACCTTCGTCTTTATGGACTCGGTGTGCCTGTCAGTGCCGGGTTAACGAGAGCTCTGCAGTCGGAGCGTTTCATCTCTGTGATAGCTATAGATAATTAGTACCATGCAGCCGAGCGTGGCGAGCACGCCCAGAGCACTGTTGTGGAGTTCGAAGCCAGCCTGGGCTACAAAGCGAGCTCCAGGCTGGCCTGAACTGCACAGCAAGGCTGTGTCTCAAAAAGACAAAAAAAAACAAAAAAATATGTACATGTAGGTGCTAACTGTGCTTAGTAAAGGGAAAAAAGCTCTCCAGGTGCAAATGTCTCACACAGATACGGAAATAAGTAAATGAGGTTTGGGTTAAAGGGCAAAGACTGGTAATATTATTGTAGAGAAAGCACTAAAGCCATGGAGTTGGTAAAAGAAAAAAAAAAAAATACATAAACGAGGTATGGCGGCACATGTCTATAATCCTACACTCTGAGAGACTGAAGCAGGAGGATCACAAGTTCGTACAAAGCTGGACAACTTAGTGACTCAGCAAGACCCAGTCTCAAAAATAAACAAACAGGGCTAGGAATACAGCTCAGCGGAAGGCAGTGGGTTCAATCCCCAGTACCACAAAAATGAATTAATTAATTTGTAATGAGGGAAAGAAAACTGAGCATTAAAAGGATCAGCAGCAAAAGCTAAAATTAGCAGTCTGAAAAACCACAGAGCGCTGGGATGTAGCTCAGCCACACAGTGACTGCCTGGTAAGCACAAGGTCCTGAGTTCGATTCCCAACACCAAAAAAGCAAAACCATAGGAAAAGACACAATGACATTACAAAGCTAAAAAAAGAGAAGTCTTTAAGCAGAATACTTAAGAGAATCAAAATAAGAGCCAAGCATGCTTGCAATCCTAGCACTCAGGAGAGTGAGGCAGGAGGATCCCTGTGAGTTTGAGGCCAACCTGAGCTACATGAGCAAGTTCAAGGTCAGGCTGAACTACATAGTGAGAACCTGCCTTACCCCAAGACAGAAAGTTTTTAAATGACGTGTAAACCGGGCGTGGTGTTGCACGCCTATAGCCTATAATCCTAGCACTCGGAAGGCTGAGGCAAGAGGATCATTGCAAGTTCAAGACCAGTCTGGGCTACAAACTGACAAAAAAAAAAATTGTCAAGAAAAAGAAAACTACTACATATTAATTTTAAATCACTCAGGTATAAGAACAGTTAACATGGAAACAAACAAGATTCTTTAAGAGCAAAAACACATGTAATCCCAACACTGGGAGGCTGAGATAGGAGGACTGCAAATTCAAGGACTGCCTGAACTACATAGCAAGATCCGGTCTCAAAAAGACAAAAATAAACAAACAAATAAATAAACAAATACAGGACATTTAGCAATAGGTCACTTCTGCTCTGTTCCACTAAGGGATCTGGTACTCTACATGGTGTGGAGGACTACACAGGGTGGGCAAATAATGGAAGCTGATGGATACGAATATTCGCTCCTTTCATCTTTGTAAAGGTTTTACTAACTACACTCAGAAACAATTTTTTTTTTGTTTTTATCTTTTTTTTTTTTTTTTTCTTGTCTTTTTGAGACAGGGTCTCACTATGCAGTTCAGGCTGGTCTTGAGCTCACTCTGTAGCCCAGGCTGGCCTCAAACTCGCAATGATCCTCCTGCCTCAGCTTCCCGAGTGCTGGGATTACAGGCGTGTGCCACCATGTCTGGCCTCAAAAAGAACTTTTAAAGCAGTAGAGAAATATTTTGAGGAAAAAAATACATAATATATACAATAATTACAGTTTTCACATGTTTCCTTTGTATCAGATACTTACCTGACACATCTGTTTCTCAATTTTGTCAAGTAATAGACTTGGAATGTTAATAACAACATTACTTCCATCTAAATTACACTGGTTCACAAGATCAAAGACTGAATCAACAACTTCTCTCTCTTTCTCCAAAACTGTGAGTGTTTCATTTACTAAGGTCCACAAAGATCGAACCTTTGAAAACAAAAACAAAACGTGAAAGTCCATTCATAATCTGTAACTATATTAAAAAATACAACCATAAATACTTTCTCAATCCTAGGAACAAATGAAATATTCTTGAGATGATAAGAAATAACTGTAATTTTTAAATAACTGTAACTTTTAAGTAATTTAAAAACACTGATATTGGGGGCTGGGGATTTAGCTCAGCGGCACAGCACCTGCCTGGCAAGCGCGAGGTCGTGAGTTCAATTCCCTGTACCGGGGGAAAAAAAAAAACTGATTATTACTTCCAAAAGAGCTTGAAAACTAAAAAATTTCTCAGGAGACTCTAGCTCACTATAATTTTCAAACAAACCGAAGATATCTTTATATCACCAAGACACAATTAGCATTTTCTGTACTTTTATATGCACCCAATCTAATGAAGATTTTTCACAAAAATTGTCAGACCAGGTGTGGTGGCGCACGCCTGTAATCCCAGCACTCAGGAGGCTGAGGCAGGAGGACCCTTTCAAGTTCATATAGCTCAGTGGCATAAGCGCCTGCCTGGCAAGCACAAGGTTATGAGTTCAATCCCTGGTACCACAAAAAAAAAAAAAAAAAACCAGCCTGGGCTACAAAGTGAGCTCAAGGCCAGCCTGAACTGCATAGTGAGACCCTCTCTCAAAAAGACAAAAAAAAAATTGTCAAGAAAAAGAAAACTACTACATATTAATTTTAAATCACTCAGGTATAAGAACAGTTAACATGGAAACAAACAAGATTCTTTAAGAGCAAAAACACATGTAATCCCAACACTGGGAGGCTGAGATAGGAGGACTGCAAATTCAATTTCAGCTTCCGCAACTTTTCAATTTAGCAAGACCCTGTCTCAAAACAGAAGAAGGCCTGGAGATGTAGCTAGTATGAAGGTTTAATCCCCAGTACCACCCCCTCAAAAACTCTTAGGCATAAAGTAATATATGTTCACTAAAATTCAAGTACAAAAATATTCACAGAATGCCAGGTGTGGTTGTGAACACCTGTAATCCCAGAACTTGGGAGGCTGAGAAAGGAAGATCACCACGAGTTTGAGGTCAGCCTTGGCTACATAGTAAGTTCAAGGCCAGCCTGAACTACATATCAAGACTCTGACTCAAAAAAAAAAAAAAAGAATATTCACCAGAGGAAGTTGATTAAAATTCCAGTTAGACTGGAGGAATGTGTTCATGATTTGTTGTGTTGTATACTGGCCAATTATTAATATACGTATTATATTGCATATTTCAAAACTGCTAAAATAGATCTTTAACATTCTCATCACAAAAAAAATAGTAAGTTAGTGATTTATGGATATATTAATTAGCCTGACTGAATCATTCTATAAAGCACACAGATATCAAATCATATTATACCCCATAAATATATATTTTTTACCTATCAGTTAAAACTCAGAACAGGTGTGGTGGCACACGCCTGTAATCCCATCAAGCTAGGACACTGCAGCAAGACCTCAAAGCCAATCCTGGGCAAGTTAGTGACTTGGCGAGATTTATCTCAAAATGGAAAAAAAAAGAGCTGGGCATGTACTCAGTGCAAAGGCCCTGGATTTAATTCCCAGTACAGAGGACACAAACACACATACACACATACACACACACACACAAAGGGTACACTTTATACACTCATAAAAGAGCACCACACAGCAATGAGAACGAACGTATTAAAACCGCCCATGACTGCACGGATAAATAACACCAACACTATTGAGTCACAGAGACATTCTATCAGCTTTCATTTATATAAAGCTCAAAAACAAGCAAAACTGCTATTTAGTGTATGTGAGCTTAGTGCTAACCCTTTGGGCAAAGTGGCTGTGAATGCAATGCTATGACAAGGATTCTGAGTTATTGGTCATGTTTATTTGTGAAACCGGATACTGGGTAGGTGGATGTATTCATTTTTTGAAAACCTGCCAGGCTATATATACTTATGACTTACACATTTTTTTGTATGTGTATTTCAAAGTAATTTATAGAAACGGGAAGAAGATGGTAAAGATAATTACTCCTATGTGTCTTATGTTTCCCAACGATACAAATAAGAAACTGAGCATCTTTAATTAAAGTGTCACGTGGCTAGCCATCCTAGTATTCACCTATAATCCCAGTTCCCTTGGAGGCTGAGGCAGGAGAACCGCAAGTTCAAGACTAGCCTGTGGTACTCAGTGACTTAGTGAGACCCTGTCTCAAAAAAAAAAAAAAAAAAAAAACATAAGGGCCTGGAGATACAACTCAATGCAAAGGCCCTAAATTCAATCCCCAGTACTGGAAAGAGAAAGAGAAAAAAAAAAAAAAATCAATCAATCAAAATAAACCTTCTAAAAAGGCTGGAGATGTAGCTCAATGTGAAAGTCTGGGTTTATGCCCCAGTACCATGGGAAAAAAAGTAAGGCAAGAGGGCACAGTGGCACATACCTGTAACTCCAGCCCTTAGGAGGCTGAAGCAGAAAGAGCACAACTTTGAGACCAGCCTGGGCTACACAGCAAGAAAGACACTGTCTCAAAAAACCAAAAGGAAGCCGGGCACGATGGCGCACCCCTGTAGTTTGAGGCCAGCTTAAACTACACAGTGAGCTCAAGCAAGGCCAGCCTGAACTACATAGCCAGACACTGTCTCAAAAAAATGTATGTAAATTGTAAGCTGATTTATTCCATTATATTCAAGAGTTTTAGAGGCACTTACTGGTATCTTCTGATATAGCACCTGCAACAACTCAAGTTTAATAAAGTTTTTAAAAGGCAAGAGAATTTTAGTCCAATGTTACACATAGCAGCACATGCCTATAGTCCTAGTTACTTGGGAGGCTGAGACAGGAGGATCACGCGACCTCAGCGGTTCAGGACCTGCCCGAGCAACATGGCAAGACCCTATCTCTTAAAAGAACAATAAAATACACAACAAAATAAAATATGAAGTTCAACTGATTAAGGAAACACTGAGTATCACAAAGTAAGAAAAGTTAAATTTGTCCCATCAAAAGTGTCTCACCTTTTCAATTTTCTCTTTTATACTACTTTGGTCATCAGAGGCTTCCATTCTAGTAGAAATTAAATAATCTAATTAGTCAAAAGAAAATCAAACGGCAATTTAATATACAAAAAGCAAACTGGTATGAAAACCCATACACTAATAGCCATTCCAATTAAAAAATAGTTAGGCCCAAGCTCAAAGCAACAGTAACTCTTCAGGAGAAACGGACTAGGAGCCAGAACTGTGCTTCAGTCCTGTCATCATTTATTTACATATTATTTCAATTAATGCTGCTCAGATTCTGTGTCCTCACCTGCAAGAGCTAAACTAACATCTAAGGCAAATTCTGCTGTAAAAGTCACTTACTTTTTCATTTGGTTTTGTAATCCTATATATTCTGATCTCAAGCTCCGTACTTGCTTAACTGATAATCTGCAAGAAAACGTACGAACAACAGCTGTAATTCTATTGCACTGAACTGTACAGCCCACGCTGAGCTCTTCCTTTATGGACATATGCTCAAGCCTCACAGGGCAGGTGTAGCCGTACAGACCTGTAATGCCAGCACTCAGAGGATGAAGCAGGACAACAAGTAGTTCAAGGCTGGGGATATAGCTCAGTGGTGTAAGCGCCTGCCCGGCAAGCGCAAAGTCATGAGCTCGATCCCCGGTACCACAAAAAAAAAAAAAAAAGCTCAAGCCCAATCTGGGCAACTCAGCAATGTAGGAAGACCATCTCAAATTTTTACAAAATTTTAAAGGGCTGGAGATGTAGCTTAGTACAAAGCTCTTGGGATCAATCCTCAGAACCACAAAAAAATACATAAATAAAAATGAGAAACTTTCAGTTTTGCTGTTTAGTCACTGTGGTTTTATTGTTTTTGCAACAGGGTCTCACCATATAGCCCAGCTTGGCCTCGAGTTCATAGTCTCCCTAGCTCTCCGCCTCAGGAGTCCTGGGATCAAAGGTACGCACCACCATGCCCAGCAATATTTCCATTTTAAGTTCTTTCCAAGGATTCTACACGTTTAGGAACAGATAACAAATCACTCAAAGTTATCTTACTGATATAAAAAGTTAGACATAGGCCATCTCCTGAAAATATGAACCTTGCCTGTCTTGTTTGATGCTGTGGCACCAATACACAGCACACAAAAGGCACTCCCAGAAAGTATCTGTTAAGCCAGAGTGCTGAGTACACCTGTAACCCCAGCACTCAGGAGGCTGGGGCAGGACTGCTGTGAGGTCAAGGCCGGACTGGGCTACATAATGAGTCTGTCTCAAAAAATAAAATACGAAATCAAGCAAAAATGACAGCCAATATCTTGAAGTAGGCATAGATTATTTCTACTGAAGTTACATTGATGACATTTGTTCAAAACCAAAGGAATTATTTCGTAACTATCAAAATATTACTTACTGTGCATTTTCCTGATATTTTTGGATAACATAATCTTCTCTTTGTAAAATCTGTAAAAATCTGTTACGTGCTACATGACATCTGGCAAGGCACCTGTGCATATCCTGGGTCTTTACATTAAATGTCTCTGAAAAATGTAGAGAAGAGTCTGTACGGAAGACAAAGTTACAGAAAACAGGTTTATAAGTAAAGAAAAACTGAGTATGTTTAATGTTAACCAGGTAGAATGACACATGCTGTAGGTCCAGCACTGAGAGGCTGAGGCAAGAGGACTGTGTAAGCCAGAGGTCAAAGCCAACATGGGGGATAGACTGCCACCTTCAAAAATCAAGACTGAACTTTCATTTAATTAACAATTCCAGGGCTGGGGATGTAGCTCAGCGGCAAAAGCGCCTGCCTGGCAAGCGCAAGGTCGTGAGTTTGGTTCCCGGTATTGGAGAAAAAAACAAAAACAAACAAACAAAAAAAAAATTGCAAGCTGGGCGTGTTGGCGCACACCTGTAATCCCAGCACTCGAGGGGCTGAGGCAGGAGGATCGTTGTGAGTTCGAGACC